ACTTGCCTTCCACTTCATGTAACAATATCCCATCGCCCCAACTGCCGCAGCTGGAAGAATGTAAGAAGCATAGCTCCCTAAAAAAACAAAGGCCCATAACCATGTCAGCTCTATTTCAACTGGATCGTCCATAAAGGACATTTAGGGTATTTATATTCCTAGTATTCTAGCTCCAACTGGTGCAGGTGTGCTCTTTGGTACGTGATAAAAAAGAACAATATTGCAGAAAAGGAAACTAAAATGTAAGGAAAGATTCCTCTTGACTAAGGAAGACTACAAACAAACAGGGCCTAAAGAACTTCCACTTTTCATGTTGAAAACAGGAACCGTAGTTACATAATTCAAAACTTAACCATCAGGGTACATTTAAGAAGTTACAGATCTCCATTCTAGAGAATTCAGCATTTGCAGTAAGATGGGTAACACAATTTAAAATGAACATAAAAAGACAAAAGCATACCACTGGAGGAAGAATCCTTATAAATAGTAATTGGATTTGATATGCTCATCTCCCGAATGTCCTGTGCTAATTGTCGTATCTGAAGGCAATATCAGAACCAAGAAAGGCTTGGATGAGGTAACAAAGTGTAGTTGTATAAGAAACATGCTGGTACTTGTTAATTGTAACATTACATTAACATATAGCACAGCCCCTTCTTTCTTTTTTAGATAAGCAACATACATAGAGGATGCATATCGCCAAACCATAGTGATTGATTGAAATGTCATTTAAGAGGAGCTCTANTAGCATGGTTAATATGTTCACCTACGGTGTATAAATGAGATTTGATGTTACGATGTAAAACACTATATCAAAGAAGTTAGGCAGGCCTCAAAATTTCAACATCATGGAAGACCAGGCAAAAAGTTTTTGCATATTCCACTTTTTATCAGTAAAATTTTTGCGAATTCTAAATCAAACAACAACTCCAAGCTTTGCATTTGCTTCCAGAAGAAGGCTACCAATTCAGTAAAAGAACCTTTCCACCAAGTATCAACCATATTGGCTCCATCTTATAAAGTGTAAATCAGGAGTTGTTTGAATGTGACAAGAAAAAGAAAGAAGTAATCAAGCTACAGCGTGTGAATTCAGAACTAAAATTACGTTCTATCTATGTTTCGCACACAATGAACTCTGAAGTAAGGAGAACATATAAATGCCATGCACATTAACAAGCAGAAATCAAGTTCTTTGGTGAAGCATATTTTGTGAGAGTAATGCTTCAAAGCTGTTGATTGTATTGACCACTGACCAGCTCGTTTAAAAGCTTAAGTCATTAGAAGTAAGACTTTTTTATTTAGTTATTTATTTATCAATGTTGCCAATATGCCCTCTATTCTGATTGTTTTTCTTGAGTCAAGAGTGTGTAAATTTTATTTGCTGATGGATGGAGGCGAAACTCAAACCCAGGACTTCTGCGTACTATGCTACCATCTTGAATTGTGTGAATGCCTTATTAAAAGCTTAAACTATTATAAAGAGGAATCTTTTCTTTATTAGTTTTATTTATTTCAGGTCAACAAAATAATATGCTCTTCTATTTCGAGGAACGAGATGGTACCAACAAGTTTTGAAGTATACTTTATGCTAAAAGCTTTTGACATGGCTAAATGGCTTTCCGTGATCATGTGATTAGTCCCCAC